GGGGGGCCCTGGCAGTGTGGAGAGAACTGTCCAGAAGGTGGTTTTGTGGTGGGGGGGCCCTGGCAGTGTGGAGAGGGCTGTCAGGAAGCCTCTGGGGATTGGCAGCCAGTGCTCCCAGCGGTGACTGGAGTTTTGTATTGGTCCCGTTAGAATCCCACGGCTGAAAGAATCAGTTGGTCATAAGACAGTGATTCGAAATGTGCCAAATGATCCAGGCGTCCCTGTGTAACCCTGGCTCAAAGTCTGCCGTGGCGGGGGGTGTTGGAGCTTTCTGAATGCACAGAAGCCCCTAATGGGGACTTTCATGAGATGAGGGTCCCCGGTGGGAAGTGTGCCCTGCCCTCTGAGACCCAGGGACTGGCTGATGTGCTGCTGTCCCGGAGAGCAGCCCAGTCCTGGGGGTTCATGTCCACCTGCCTTCCCAAATCCCTCCTCCCACCTGGGATGAGGGTGGAGTTCGTGGCCACACCATTGCAAAGTGGGGACCAGTCTTTCCTGCCCTGCTAGGAACAGGTCTTAGGTGGTCCTCGCTCTCCAACCTACCCCATGGCTCACCCAGGCACACCTTGCTAGGGATGGCGAGGGGCAGGGTGGGTGGTCGGTGGGCTGGGCTGGGTCGTGAAGCACTCTCTGGGCCTGCTCGAGAGGCTGGGTCTGTGCCGGCAGACGGAGTCACTGAGGGCTGGCCAGCCACAACAAGGTCAGACTGTGTTAGCAGGGGCAGGAGAGGCTGAAGTGTGGAAAGTCACGAGGCCCCAGCCTGCCGTGGGGCCCTCATGGGTGCTGGGCAGGGAGGTGCGCAGGAGGGGGCTCTGGGCAGACAGACAGGCGTCCGCCAGCCGAGGCCGGCGTTGCTATTCACAGCACGTCACCTCCTTCCCAAGTGTCTGCACAGCCCATTAAACTCCTGTCCGGGCCACCTCGGCAGCCCCGCAGCCCAGCTGGGCGTATTTTACTTGAGCACAAAGCCTTCTGGCCCAGCTGTGGACTTGAACCCACCTGGTAGCACGGCTTAGAGCCCCAGGGTCTCCAAGGGCCCCTTCTGGAGGTGACTGTAGGACGCCCAAATGGCTCCTGACCTCGGAGGTGGTCGTGGGGGTGTCTGCTGGGATGTGGGTGGGGCCCCCGTGGACTTGGGGTCCCGAGGCTAGTGAGTGCTGCCTGTGTCTCTCCCAGTCTCTCTCGTCCTGTTCCGGCCTCTTAGGCCTGTCTGACACCCTTCCTCGCTCATCCAGCCACTGTGGATTCAGGCACGGGGGAGTAATTCCTCTCACCTGTGCCAGAACAGGGCGGAGGCTGCAGGTCCCAGAGGGCAGGTGACCTGGGGCCCAGAGTTCAGGCCTGGGAGCCCTCAGCACGTGACAGGACCCCCTGGGTGGCTCTGGACCCTGTGTGAGCGGAAGCCCACCCTCTAGACAGCGTGCACCAGAGGGGCTGAGACAATCCTGAGGGGAGGCTTCAGCCATAGACCCCATGGAATTCACCCCTAAAATCATCCAGAGAATCTCCTATGGAATTCAGACACGCCCGCCTCTCCTAGGCGCTAGGGGCTCCAGGTGTCCGGCTTCCCTGAGGGGAGGAGGGGGCTGCCCACCAGCAGGTGTCTCCCCTCTGGGTCTGAGCAGGAGGGCGTGCTGTGCGCGAGGGGTGGCCCTGCTGGCACGGCTGACCTAGCTCCCTTCCCAGGTCCACAGGTCTCGACACCACTGTGTGAGCTGGCAGCAGGCCCCTGACCCATGAGCAATAGCCAGAAGGCTCCCCAGGGCCCCGAAGGGGAACAGGGACCGGCTCAGACACGTGTCATGCTGGCTCTCTTCCTCCTAAGCAGCACAACCTATGGGGTCCTCAGACTTATTTACCGCTTAGTGCACATCTGTGCCCATGTTTGCAGGCATGTGTGCGTGGGCACGTAGCGCTGTGTGCATGTGTGTGCCAGTGCACAGGAGTGTGTGCATATGTGTGTGCCTGTGTGTGCAGGTGCATGGGTGTGCACACATGTGTGCATGTGTTTGTGTGTACGCAGTGCCCAGGCACCTCTTTAACCAGCCCCACAGGTGTCGCTGGGAGCTTCAGGCTCTCTGGAATCCTGAAGAGTCCTGGGCGGTACAAAGAAGACGGCAGGCTTGAGCGCAAATCAGAGACACCTTTGATCAATCAGCGAACACAGGAATGGGGCAGGGAGATTCATGCGATAGAAAGAGCTGGAAGGGCCTGGGTAATGATGTCATCAAGTCCCTCCCTAGACCCCAAGAAGGAGATGGATGGGGGATGTGCCAAGACCCCACGGACAGACGCAGACCCAGCCCCATGGCCAGACCCCACCGGGCGCCTGTGCCCTGATTCCGTCACTTGTTGGCCTCCTGCTTTGGTTTGAGCCCTTCATCCCTTTCCTGTGCCTGGAGGGCCTCTTGCAGTGCCAGCCGCTGGGGCATGGTGGGGGGACCAGAGGTGGGAGGTGCCTCTCAGGACCTCAGCCCAGTGGCACTGGTAGAGCCAGAGCTGCCCTGTGCACTGGGAGAGAGGGGAAGTCAGGGATGGGGGAGAAGGGACCTCTGCCTCCTCCTCACCTGCCCTGTCCTCCGAGGCCCCGTGTCCGGAGACTTTCTTGACCTCACCCATGTGCATCCAGGCTGCATCCCCCAGCCACCCCCTCCTACCTGCACATGGGGTGCCCTGGCCGGGAGCAGCACACCCAAGAGGGCCTTCGGCTCCACATCTGGGTACGTGCGCGTGTGGATTGTGCAGCCTTGGGTGTTCCTGTGAGGATGTGTGCACCAAGCGTGGGAATGGGTGTGTGCGGGTTTATGTATGTGTCTGAGTGTGCCTGCAAGTGGTCAGTGTTAGGCATGTGTGCAGTGGCATGTAGTATGTATGTGAGTGTGAGGTCTGTATGTGCATGAGGCTGTCCGTTCTCATTGCATGAGTGTGTGTGAGAAGCGATGGGACCGTGAGTGCGTGTAAGACGCGGTGGGACCGAGTGCGTGTGAGACGTGGTGGGACTGTGAGTGCGTGAGACACGGTGGGACTGTGAGTGTGTGTAAGACGCGGTGGGACCGAGTGCGTGTGAGACGAGGTGGGACTGTGAGTGCGTGAGATACGGTGGGACTGTGAGTGTGTGTGAGACGCGGTGGGACTGAGAGTGTGAGAAGCGGTAGGACTGAGTGTGAGTGTGAGTAGCGGTGGGACTATGTGTGAGAAGCGGTGGGACTGAGTGTGTGTGAGTAGTGGTGGGACTGAAGTGGTGAGACTGAGTGTGCACACACCTTGCACCAGCATCTGAGTGTCGATGTATGAACGTGCCCTGTGTTGTCGTGTGTCCGTGTGGGATGCATGTATGGGGATGTGTGTGTCTGTGTGAGGGTGAGCACACGTGTGCTAGGTGAGGATGTTTGTGCGTGTGCATGTTCATGGGGGTGTGGGTGTTGGTGGCAGCCATCATGGTCACAGCTGAGCCCTCACGGAGTCCAGGAGCCCACTCAGATTTGGAGGTGGGTCCACATGGGGGTGGCCGGGCCATGTGGAGGGAACCGCCGTGATTGTGTCCTCAGTGTGAACTGCCTGGAACAAATGTTGGCAGCGCGTATGGTTGTGCGTTGTGTGAGTGTGTCAGCGTCACGCCCCATTAGCTCTGCACAAGTCCACAATTGGGGATCTCGACTCGGTCGCCTCACTCATCTGTTGGCAGCCTCCACAGGCCGGTTGAGCCGTGAGCCTGTGGGTTCAGGGGTGCCCCAGGGAGCAGGTGACCCAGCAGCTCTGGCCGAGCCTCTGGGAGGAAGGCCCCGTGCCCAGGCTCCAGGAGCAGACACCTGCTCCAGGCAACCCACTGATGGTGCCACCAAATGTTCCATGACTCTGACGTCCAGGGAACAGCAGGACGACTCTTGAAACAAAACGAGACGTGGCCTGAAGCCCTTTCCCTGACCCACGTGTTGAAACCCTGCCACGAGCCGTCCCTTTCCCCGTGGAATCATCTCGGCGGGGATGCCGGGGCGCGGCTGAGGGTCCTGCGGGGCTCACGGCCAGGGCCTGTCTTGACAGGAGAATGTGACTCTGGCTGACATCCTCTCCCTGCGGGACCGCGGCCTCAGCGAGCAGGAAGCCTGGGCCGTGTGCCTGGAGTGCAGCCTGTCCATGCGGAGTGTGGCCCACGCCGCCATCTTCCAGAGCCTGTGCATCACGCCGGACACCCTGGCCTTCAACACCAGCGGGAACGTGTGTTTCATGGAACAGCTCAGCGGTGAGGCGGCCGCGGGCACGGGGCGGAGGTGCCTTTTGGGGTGGGTGTGAGCACAGGCTCTGTGGGGGCAGACGCTGGGAGTGTGCCTGGACCCGGGTTTCCTGTGGAGACCTTCTCTTCCTCAGGAGGGACTCAGGCTGGAGAGTGGCCGAGGGTCCGTGGGGTGCCTGCTGGGCCAGGGCAGTCAAACCCACCCTCAGACGCCAGAGGGACACTCAACCCACCCCAGCCCCGCTCCGCTCAGGACTTCCCCTAAGGGCAGGCCGTGCGCCTCTTCTGTCTCCCCCGGGCCAGTCCCGCTGGCCCTGCCGTGAGTGGACGCCGGCCCGGGAGGCTGGGACACCCCTGCCTCGGTGGGCCACCTGCTCCCACTGCGTGGGCTCTGCCTGGGAGCTGCTTTTCCCTGGTGAATGTCTTCAGCTTCCTTCTTGGGAAAGTGGTAGAACCCTTCCTTCTTCCACTTTGGAACCCATTTCCCACCATAACCGTTAAGGAGCTAATTTCCCTTTTTCGCAGCCTAAAATGGTCTGGGGACGCCAGGTCTGCGGGGAGGGGACCTTCCCGGCTGGCGGGTTCAGGTTCACAGGTGTGACTAGAAGCCCTCTCTCCTTCTCTCTCTCCTCCCTAAGACGACCCTGAGGGCGCCTTCGTTCCCCCGGAGTTCGACGTGACCGGGAACACCTTTGAGGTAAGTGCCGGTGGGGGTAACGTGCCACGCCCCCCCTTTACCTCTAAGGTGGCCTCTGCCATTAACTCAGAAACGCACCTGCCTTGGGGCAGCCTCTGCGAGTGGCCGCTGGCCAGGAGCAGAGCCCGGTTCACTGGGCTGTAGGGACGGCCTCTGGGACACACCCAGCTTCGTCCCCTGCAGTGTCCTCTGCGGGTCCACACAGACTGTGGGAGCAGCAGCTTCGGCCACGTTTGTCATCATTATCGTTTTATAGCATGTTTTCTGGAATGCGAACTTACTACACTTAACACATTAAAAGTGACCAAAATGACCAGTGATGGTCGGCGGGGAATCACAGCTCCTCTGAGGGAGTTAGCAGCCGGGTCACTCACAGCCTTTGCAGAGACACAAGGCCTCCAGGCACAGCTCCGGGCATGGGTGTGGGCGTGGGCCACCCTGAGGGCCTCATCGCCTGAGTCATAGAGCCTGCTGCTCCCAGAGCAGACCCCCGTGTAGCCCCTCAGGAACCCTTTGTGTGGGACGAGTCGGGCAACAGCCTAGCAGCTCGGGGTCAGCACCTGCGTGGCTGGCTGGAAAGGGGCAGAGTCACCCTGCAGCCCTCAGGTTTGTTCCGTCCATCAGGCTGGGCTCTGTCCCCGGGCAGGGAGTGGCGCATTGGTGGTTCCTACTGTCACAAAGCCCATGGCAGAGAAAATAACGCAATCCTTTATAAATAAACAAGTAACTAGGAACTCAAAGATCTTCCCAATAAAAGCCCATCGGCTGTGTCATGACCTTAAAATTTGACCTTGAAAGTAGAGTCTAGGGGCCAGGCGTGGGGGCTCACTCCTGTAATCCCAGCACTCTGGGAGGCCGAGG